ATTCTTTTACTTTTACTTTAAAATTACTGATGCTATTCAGTTGACGGATAGGTGGCGGCAAGTTGTTCCAGCATTTAGTAGCCACATATCGGAAACTACCATATATACTGCCATTTCAGTTCAACAACGAAAGGTAGATGGACAAAAATAAAAAAATAAAAGTAAAATAATTAATACCTATAAAAAATAACCATGTTCAACTTATTGTAAGAACACGCACTCATGCACATTTTTAAAAGTCCAGGCACTCATTTTGAACCTATAGGAAATGTTAAAGATGCATTTAAAATAATTTGCAACCAATAACCTGGTATTAATTATATCATATCGGTTCATATGCATTCAACAGTGCACTTTTACGGGCTGTTAAAAAAAAAAGAAAGAAGAAAGATGAGTGCTTGAGAGCGTGTCAGGAGGTTGAACATGGTTTCAGCTTAACTTGAAATGTACGCAGCGCTCCGTCTGTCTTTCTTTTTTGGTCTGTGATTTTCTGTGTGGTCTAGATTCCTACAACCAGGGCTCAGTACAGCCCTTGCAAAAAGGAAAAACTCCACAAAGTCGATGACATGTCGCTACTCCAAGACGAGGAATTAGGTTTTATCAAATGTATAAACTTTGATAATGCCTCGTTTTATATCGCTGAGACAGAAGAGGGAGATGGTGGACTATAGCTTTATGTTTTGAAACATGTTTGAAATACATGTTGCGCCACGGACTTAGGAGGTGCATATTTATGTCGTAAAAAACTTAATTTTTAATTATTATTGTATGACGTAAAATTAATTAAACATACATATATAACATACATAAACACTCACGCCTGTCACCCAGAGGCGTAGGCAGAGACTACGGACTTCCATTTGGCGCGATCCTGACACACCTCTCTCGCCTCCTTTATATCCTTATATCTACGCATACACGCTCGTCGGTTAAGGGTACTCCTAATCTGGCCCATTTTTAATGTATCGTCGATTTGGTCGATAAACCTTCGTCTAGGGCGTCTCTTCCCGACCGAAATTAATTAAAATTATTTGAATTCACGACACAAACTTTATAAAATTGGATTCATTTAACTACTCAATATGAAATATAAATTGAAAACACATATATACAGTTAAATGAAAGTCATCACCATTACATCCTATCAAAAGTCCACTGGAAGTTGAAGAATGAACATAGGCTCCCTCAGAGATTACCTCATTGGGATATATTATGTGCCATAGTTTATCATATCTTGAGTTAACGTATCTTGAGTTATAGTCAGAAAGATGCTGCTGCCCACGTCCAGTTTCATTTCCCTCTTTCCCCTCATACGACTCATACTCATAGGATGGTATGGGGTAGTGGATTTGCTTACCATATGTGTTAAATGAAACCAATTTTTATAAATTTTATTGCCTTTAATTTTGTTATTTTGATTCCCGACTTTTCTTTTCAACATTTTTTTTAGAATATTTAAAAATCGTAAAAGTATTACCGAAGCAAATATAGAGTTTAGTTTTTCTATTATTGTCTAATGTCTAGACAGCGCTTTGTATAAATTCGTGTTGTTCCTGGTTGTAAGCCGACACTGATGCGTGATTAGTATACCGCCAGGGGAAAATGGCCGCCAGCCTTGTCTCACCGCAAATGTAGTTTGAAATAGTATTAAACCAGTACTATTTACTTTATAAATGTTATATATATATATATATTGTGAACTTGATAAAAGACTAGTGAATATCCCAGTTTTCAGAGAACAAAGAAGTTTTTGTTTTATTAATTTAAAAATTACTTAGATAACTTCACTTACGTTACGTAGATTTAGAAGAATCCACGACCCGATAGACCCGCCTTACGGCATACGGATAGAATCTCAGGAGACGCATTCATTACTTGTAAAAGGACTATGAAAAATTCCAAAAACGTCTTATGGATTCTTAACGATAACGGTGTTACCATCTTGTTTACGCCAGACGTAAAATATCTATCAGGCCGGCGACAGAGCAGCATCATGGTGCGAGGTACGAGGCGTGTGTTACTGCGTTCACCAATTCAGGTGATTCAGAATGCAAGCGTAGTGATTTTAGTCGTGTATCGCCAGCAACGCAAAGTCAGGAATTTGCATTTAGAAAAATTAGGGGATTTTTAAACTCAGTAATAAGGCTTCTACTGGTTTGTATCTCTCTGTCGCCTCTTACGACATCGATATCTGTCAATTCATCAATCAATTTGGGCCCACTGTCCTTTTATTAGCGCACTCATGTCATGAAAACATCATAGATTGAGATAATTTTTCTGGTTGAACTAATTTTTCACTTGAGAATCGACACGATTTAACTTTGATATGTATCTACAAATTGTTATAGTTAAACTTTTATAAGGACCTTGCCTGTTCTTCTTTGGAGTAAAGATAAAATTAGTCGATTTCTAATAATACATATATTTATTTGTTTGGTTTTCCACAATTGGGAAAAAAATTGTTTTTAGCTTTTTCACATTTTCCGATGGGGTTTCCGAAAGGGCTGAAGTAGACCAAAAGTTTTAATCTTTTTTATATATTTTTATAATCTTATTTATTTATTTATTCTCTATTGCAACTTTATCAACTATAAAATTTCTAATAATTACTAAAATTACCTATTGGCATTCTCTACCAGTACCCTGGGTGTGGTGTGAATTAATGGTAGGTGCAATTATTTATTTGAAATTAGAAAAGAAAATCTTTTTAAATATTATCTAGCTTTGATGTACTTCGCTTATGTTTAATAAGACAATGCAAATGTTTTTCTCGACTTTCTCTTCTAATTGTTGAATAAATATAAAGATCTTAAATACGAGGTATATTAGGTATGTTGTATTAATCACTTTTATAATTATGTATTAATTAAGCTTAATTTTTGAAATAACAAGCTGTTAAAGCTTATATAAATACTACGTTGTTTGCGATGTGCCGCCTTACGCAACTAAAAAATTAGAGAAATATAATTATTACTTATAATTAAAATCAATAAATAACAGTACAGCATTTTGTTTATAAAATGTTATCGAAGATATTGAGCACAGCGGGACCTCTCGCGTGTTCCAGTACGCACTTGGTCATTTTAACCGACTTCAAAAAGGAGGAGGTACTCAATTCGACTGTATGTTTTTTTATGTGTGTTACCTCATAACTTTTTTCTCGGTGAACCGATTTCGATGATTCTTTTTATATTTGAAAGCTGGTACTTCTCATGTAGCCCCATATAAGTTTGATCAAGGTCTGACTAGTGGATTTTGAGTTATCTTTAATAATTTATATTGAAGTCGGTTCTATAAAATTTTTAATCTTACCATTTGTTTAAATTAATATTACATATACGTATGTAACGCATTTTGCCCCTTGGGTGTCGTAACAATCAAAACAATGTCTTCGAATAATATTGTATTTACAAATATAAACAGCGACTCTGACTGACGTAAATGAGAATATTTTATTATTATTTCATATTTATTGTCAGGAGGCTTCAAGACACAGTTAGTTCATTCTGCGTAGATCGGACCAAAATTAATAATTAAAAAGCTGAAGGTACTCCGGGTTAACTGTGACATCGGGACGTCAATCACCTCAGTCCCCCGTGACCACGGTTGCTGGAAAGCAACCGAAAAGTCGCGAATATAAAATAACTTAATTAAACGCGATAAAATCCGTAAAAATAGTTTTATTCAATGTCAGGAGGCTGATATAAAATATAGACGAAACTGTTATCAAATGCTTCTTCATGCCAACAGTTGTACGTGGTTGTGCTAAAGAAGCTTTTAGACAGACAAATAGTATGTACGAGTTAAATATGCTTCTATAACACAACACATAAGCTGTGTTGAGCCTTGAGGCTAAGTAGGTAATGCGTTCTGTTCGCACGTTACTGGGTTCCAAACCTTTTTTTTGAGTGGACAATAACTGATAGGAAGGTGTTAACGGAGGTTCTTTTTTTGAGACTGTACAACCAGTGCGTGTTGCCAGTGATGACCTTTGGAACTGACACGTGGTCCTTCACTGCTAGCCGGATGAGGAAGCTCAAGGTCGCTCAGCGAGCTATGGAGAGGGCTATGCTCCTAGTTGCTCTGCGTGATAAACTTAAAAATGAGGATATCCGCAGTAGAACTAGAGTGACCGACATAGCCCAACGGATTAGTAAGCTGAAGTGACAATGGGCCGGCCATATAGCTCGAAGAACCGACAATCGATGGGGAAGAAAGGTTCTCGAGTGGCAGCCCCGTACCGGTAGGCGAAGTGTAGGACGTCCCCCCACTAGATGGAGTGACGACCTGGTAAGACATGCAGGAGGTCGATGGATGCAGGTGGCTCAGGACCGTGCTTTGTGGCATTCCTTGGGGGAGGCCTATGCTAAGCAATGGACTTGTGAAGGGCTGTAATGATGATGATAGTCATTTTAAGTTATTTATGGGTGAAATCAATCTAGGGCTAGTACAAAAAGTATATTCTCTGTAATAAAGATAAACAGTATCTACTTCGGCGATCGAGTCATGATCGGCGTCAGAAAAAATAAATGAGTTTTATCAAAAATGTCACCTATCTAATTTTTTTTTATAGAATGAGGGTGACAAACGAGCAAAATTTCCTCAGTTAAGAATCAAAATGCAGATGCGTTGTCATCCCTGCGGACTGAGATGGAATGCCTCGTTTCCAGTAAAAAGGGTCACCATAATAAATAGAGAATACGAGCGTAAAACAGCATTAAGCTGCTGTTTTAAGCTCGTATTCTGTGGGAGCGCGGTTCTACCACGTGAAAGATTATTTTGAACGTAAAACATTATCTAAAATGTCATCCAAATGATTACAGCTGTTTATTGCACTTAAATAATAATGCATTTTTATAAACATTTCTAATATAGATACATCATTATTTTGGCAGTCTATGTAAAAACGTGGATACCTACCTATTCATTTTATAAATTTCACATTATTAGCTTAATAATTTAGTTCCTTTTTGTGCAGTATCAAATGACGTAACGCCGAAATGAAGAAATCGGGACTTACTTTACCAACGAGGAATGTTCTTACGGGTGCCGTTGTCAACTGGGACGACGACGAAATGGCTGGTCTCGGGGACAATCCAGAGAACCTTACATTGGCCTGGAAGGACTTATCAGTTTACAGAAAAAAGAAACATCAACCGAGTATATGGAAATCAGCGACATACGAAGAAGTCAAAGTACTCCATGGAGGTAATTTCCATCAAATAAGTCTTGAATTATTAATTCATCCAAGCCTTTAATTTCTTTAAAAAAAAACAACATCCAATTACCACAGAAATCTCGAGACAGTTTATTACACGGCTTTATTACAAAACCCAGACTTATTGATAGTTTTGGGTTTACACTACGAAATATAATACAATACAAAATTCCGCTCAACACAATAACTGCTCGGGAAAACTGAGCAACAAGACCAAGGCGACCCCTGCTATGCTATCCGTGAATTTCTGCAACATCAGGGGACTTCACTCGAACCTAAACGCCGTCCACTACCATCTCGAGACGGCAAAGCCAACCTTGCTCTTTCTGACCGAGACGCAGGTGTCCTCTCCGGCTGATACTTCGTATCTCTCCTACCCGGGGTACAAATTGGAGCACTCCTTTGTGCCTTGGGCTGGAGTTTGCGTGTATGTCAGAGAGGACATCTGTTCTCGACGCCTCGGCAGTGTTGAAGGTTCGGACCTGTCCATCCTTTGGCTACGCGTAGACAGCGACGATCATCCGCGCGTCTACGTGTGTCTCTATAGGTCCCATAGCGGTAATGCTGAAACAGACCGACTCATCGACCACGTCCAAATGGCTACACATTCCTTGCTACAATAGCTCCCATCCGCAGAGATCGTGATCCTTGGCGATTTTAACGCCCACCACGCCGAATGGCTCGGTTCACGTTTAACCGATCATATGGTCTGACACAACTGGTTACATCGCCTACGCGGATTCCAGATGTTGAGGATCATACACCTTCCCTGTTGGACCTTCTGCTGACTTCTCATCCGGACGGATATCAGGTTTCCGTCGATGCCCCTCTTGGCTCTTCGGACCATTGTATGATCCGGAGTATGGTGCCACTCACGCTTCCCTTGCGGTTGCGTTCTGCAGGTTGCCGCCGTGTTTGGCATTACAGGTCGGCGGATTGGGACGGAATGCGGTCTTTCTTTGCTTCCTACCCATGGGGGCGGGTTTGCTTCTCGCCGGATGATCTCAGCGCTGTTGCTGACTCTGTCACTGATGTGGTGCTACAGGGAATGGAACTATTTATTCCATCATCTGTGGTACCCATCGGAGGCAGATCTCAGCCTTGGTTTGGTCGCTCCTGTAAGACTGCTTTACGCAGTAAGCTGGAGTGTTATCAAGCCTGGGATGCGGCTTCGGTGAATCGGGATGTAAACACCAGCATACTTAAAAAGAAGTATAACTTCGCCTCCAGGTCCTTCAAAAGAGTTATTGACAAGGCAAAGTCAGAGCACAGGCAGAATTGGCGAGAAACTAGTTCGCCTTCCTTCGGGAACCCGTGCATTCTGGTCTCTCGCCAAGGCTGTCCAAGGGAATTTCTGTAAGCCATCACTACCATCTCTGCACAGGGAGGACGACTCACTGGCCCACGACGCAAAAGAGAATGCCGATCTTTTAGGCTCCCTTTTTGCGTCCAACTCGACTGTTTATGACAGGGGGAACACACCGCCGACCATCCCGCGGTGTGAGTGCTCCATGCCGGATGTGCGGTTCTCACAGCGCTCGGTTCGCAGAGCACTCCTCTCCCTTGACATACACAAGTCGAGTGGGCCTGACGGAATCCCCCCAATTGTGCTGAGGACGTGTGCTCCGAAGTTGGCACCGGTTCTAACGCGTCTTTTCCGGTACGGTTCCTAAATCATGGAAGACAGCTTTTGTCCACCCGATCCTTAAAAAGCCGACCGCTCAGACCAGTCCAACTACAGGCCTATCGCCATCACCCCCTTGTTCTCCAAAATAATGGAATCCGTATAAACTGCCACCTCATGCGGTACCTTGAAGATCACCAGCTGATTAGTGACCGCCAGTACGGTTTTTGTCGGGGTCGAGCAGCTGGTGATCCTCTGGTCTACTTAACTCATAGATGGGCGGAGGCAGTAGGGTCCAAGACGGTGCATGCTCCGACTACAAGCCTATTAACGCTGGTGTTCCCCAAGGCTGCGTGCTATCACCAACGCTGTTTCTTCTGCATATCAATGATATGTTGCAAGCCGGTAGCATTCATTGCTATGCGGATGACAGCACTGGTGATGCTCTATACACCAGCCGTGCCAATATTTCTCGGAAAAACGTCACCGAGTACCGGAACAAACTTGTCTCTGAAGTCGAGTCTTTGCTGGACAAAGTCTCGGATTGGGGGCGACTAAACCTAGTCCAGTTTAATCCTCAGAAGACACAAGTTTGCGCGTTTACCGCTAAAAAGAACCCCTTTGTCGTGTCTCCTCAGTTTCAAGGTACTCCCCTTGTTGCCTCAGCCAGTATCGGAATCCTCGGCGTCGACATATCGAGTGACGTGCAGTTTCGTGATCACTTGGAAGAGAAGGCCAAATTGGCCTTTAAAAAGCTTGGCGTGCTCAGTAGAGCAGGACAGTATTTCATGCCAGCTCAACGCCTGCAACTTTACAAGGCGCAGGTTCGGCCTCACATGGAATACTGTTCCCATCTTTGGGCTGGGGCTCCCCAGTGCCAGCTCCTTCCACTTGACCGCATCCAGCGCAGAGCGGCTCGAATCGTCGACGACCGAGTCCTTTCCGATCAGCTCGACTCATTGGCACTGCGAAGAGATATTGCATCTCTTTGCATTTTCTTTCGCATTTACCATGGGGAGTGCTCTGAGGAATTGTTCAGATTAATCCCAGCCGCCAAATTTCACGAGCGCATATCGCGGCAGAACTCCCGATACCATCCACACCATCTGGATGATTGGCGGTCCACCACTGTGCGATTTAGAAGATGTTTTCTTCCTCGTACAACTTCCTTGTGGAATAGTTTACCACCAGCGATTTTTCCGGACCGATACGACTTAGGGACCTTCAAGAAAAGAGCCTACTCCTTTTTAAAAGACCGGCAACGCATCTGCAATTCCCTGGTGTTGCGGTTGTTCATGGGCGGCGGTAGTCACTATTACCGGTGAGCCGCATGCTCGTTTGCCCCCTCTTCTATAAAAAAAAAATCACTTCCCCACCAACCCGCCCGGCCCTGATGTAAACTCAAGGTCGTAATAGCGAGCTGACTATATAAAATAAATAATGATACTTCACTTAGGTCTCTAAGACTAACGTTTTTGTAATCATTAAAGCAAGACGATATAAACCTTTTCGTTACGGTTTACTGCTCAGATCTGGTACCCGTATGTTTCGGTGTGATTTTAAAGACGACACGTCATTAGAGTCTTGTTCGCTAAAAAGTCGCTTAGCTGCGGCGCCACAGGCTTCGCAAAATTTGACATCTGCTGTCAAATTCCATATTTAGTTTTTTAGTTCGTCTTTATTGTAACACACTCTAGTTTTAACCTGAGACTAATCATACTTGATCTAGTAAGGATTTATGTAGGTTTTATCGAAAAGTATCTTAATATATTTTGGCAATGTTTACGTCTCATTGTTGCTGTATTTTTTTTTTTTATAGGTTAAGGGTGACAAAGGAGCACACAGTTCACCTGATGGTAAGTGGTTGCTGCGGCCCATAGACTTCTACATCTATCCTCCATTACAAATCAAAATGTAGATGCGTTGTCACCCGTGAGGACCAAGATGGAATGCCTCATTTCCAGTAAAAAGGGCCTCCGGCCACCTGCACTCACCAAGCGAAACGCAGAGGTAAACCTCTACTTCACGCTGGTTTTCTGTGAGGTCGTGGTACTACCCCGGTTCGAGCCGGCCCATCCGAGCGTCAGCAAAAGCTGCCACGTGGCTCTACCACTGATTGAATATAATATATGAGTATTATGACTATAGTTCGAATAACTCAATCGGGGAACCACCACGGTCTTACTTTTAACTGGCAACAAGGTAGCCCAGTCCATTTAACCCATGATAGATGTAGGTGTCTATGAGCTACATCATCCACTTACTTTTATGTGGAATGTGTCGCAGTCAAGTATATAGAAAAAATTTACTGTATGAACGAATTACCACAGCGTTGTTAAAAATACGATACGATTAAAGCGCATATAGCGATGCTGTTGACAGTGTTTATTAGTCTTTAACAAGAACAGTTTATCGTTAGCTACTTTAAAATGTAAACCTATGCAACGCAAATCGGCGTCCTGGAATTCTATATTTAAACGAGTAAACAACCGCAAATTAAGCAATTATAATGCTCATTACAGGTAATTTTAATAAGTATAGTGCCATTATAGTCCCCTCGGTCGCTTGCTGCTAGACTTGAATATTTTAATTTTTTATAGTTGAAGCTTCTCCGTTTATGGTTAGAGTTTGTTATTAATAAATTTTTTTGAAATGTTTTAAATTAATTACTTGAATTAAATTTTGATGAAATGGAGGCCAATTTACTTTTTTACATAAGTTAAGTATACATATAGGATAGTTGCCTCGGTTGGCAAACGGGTTGACAACCGCAGTTTTCTATTTTAAATCGTTATTAGGGATACGTAGCTGCCCATCTGATTTGTTTCTTTTTCTCGCCTCTTAGGATACCCACATATTCTTATATCGCCACTACACGGAGATTCCAGCTATTATATAATAAAATGAAAAGCATTTTCCTAATTTTTTTTAAATTTATTATATTGCGATTTTAAGTTTTTATTTATTTATCCCATACCCAATAATAATTTATTAAACAAATGTACATATTATGTAGGTAAGGTATTGTTATTTTTTTTGCTTATATTGTGTTGATTACTAGTGACATAAAACAAAATATTAAATGAACCCTTTAAATTTCCTAAATTAATGAATGTTGCACGTGTTGTTATCCTACGAGCTTATTTTCAATCCAAACCTGTGAAATTTAAATGTGTGGGGCTCAAAAAATTTGTACCATAACGCTCTAGAAAGAGTAACACAAAATCGTAAGCAGCACACTGGAAGTTATGCAACACGCTAGAACTCGGTAAAGACAGGACTATATTGTTCCAGAACTTATTAAAAATCTTACCATATTTACGAGTACAAATAATATTATTATAAATATTGGCATTAATTTTTTTTTAAATTGTCGTATTAAATCAAGTAGAGTAAGTATGTAAAGATTCATTTGGGGTGCTTCTATGGCAACAGAAGAGAAGACACGATTATAAATACATAATGTACAGGTTTATTCACATTCAAGCAAAAATTTTATACCCGCTTTTCGCACTACCGGAGTCGGTTAAAGGCAATGTAAACTAAGCTTAATGCTATTCAGTGTGTTATGTAACACACTATGTAATACAACATAACACTGGTGTGACCGAACACGCGAGAAGATTCTTGTGTTTATACGATTAAAGTAGCCGCAAATTTAAAGAAATTTTAGAAAGAAATCCATAAAATAAGACGTCATTTCAGGTATTTATTTAGTATCTATGATTCATATAATGAAGGATAAACACATAAATTGAAAATTCTGTGTTTAATATCCAATATTTGCGACGAACAAAAGGGACACTGCAAACACCCTCACTTTTGTAGCTAGACTAAAATGGCTGACATTAAATTGACACTTGAAAGATTTTTTTTTTGGAGTTTATGGCCTGGTATCTAGACCTTTAGGCCAAGTCTTAAGTATTTTTATTCGGTTTATTGTAATTTCCCCACTCCTTCATAGTATACTGCTTCACAATATGTTGATGCGTCACATTGTGCAGTTCTTGGGAGATTTTGGCGGCAACTTGATCCAGCAGACAGCTGATAGTTGGCGATGGTATCTAAAGGTGCCTATGCAAACAAACAGCTTATCTTGAGAATCCATCACCATCAGAGCACTTGTTTCACTGTTTCCACTAATAGTTCACATGCGTAGACACTTAATACACAAAATCGCAACACTTTTACATATCAAAGTCCACTTCAAACCATTATTTAAACAATAATACAGGAGCAGCAAACCGCCGCCGGTCAATTTCCCGCCAAAACTCTACACTTGAAAGATGTTGTTATAAGGTGTTCCCACCCTTTTTTTTTTTTTTTTTTTTTTTTTTTGCGGATGGAAAATCATCTAATGACGCCTTTCGCTGTGGGTGGAGCGGAAGGGAGTGTCAGACTTTTACTGACTAAAAACCATCCGTGTTCCTTCAGTGCCCTTACGTTCCGGAGCCGCGGTATCTCTTTCGAACAGCCCGCAGCCCCGGCAGGCGTCGGCCCTTGCGGGCCCCTTCACGCTGCTGACAGCTCTTTGAGGCGCGCGTGGAACAAAACGCGCCGTCGACACGGCCTGTCGTCGTTAGACGGACGGTGTTGTTATAAGGTGTTCCCACCCTAGAAAACAAATTTTAATGTGATTAGCATTAAACTACGAAAGTTATCGTGATACACATTACTCGTAACGCACTCGAAAATTATTAGGGACACTTGTTTAAATTTTTGATTTCGCAAGAAATTGTAAGATTTTGCGAGAATTTCAGCCAAAATACTATAAATTAATTCCTACTCTAACTATGAAGGTTAAAAGAAATAACAATAAAGGCGTAATTGATAAAAATAAAATTAAAACATTGTCGGCGGACAGTCCTGGGACATTTAAGTTTTGTATGGAGCAAAAAAATGATTGAAAGTTTTATAAACTATAATATTGCCTAAATTGAAGATTTATGGATTCCTCTAGCAGCAACTAACAACCTCTGGAAGCAACTAAAATTCGATAAAAAAACTCTTAAAAAATACTAAAATTTAGGAGTAAACAGATGGCCGCGATTTTTTTTTTCAAAAGGTACAAATTTTTTGAGCCCCACCCAAATAGAACTCAGGGAAAAAGAAAACATTCTATGTGTTATAAAAACGAGTTTCTCAATATCCACATAAAAATCGTGAATATTCAATATCTGATTCGGTACTTTACAAGGTTTGAATAAAACGTGGTGTTGCACAACGTATCGCATATGAGGTTACAATGAGATGGGCGAGTACGATCACAGTACCTTGTTCATTTTAGGTAAATATATGTATACCAATATTACATTATTGTAAGAATTGTCTCGCGAAATATGTTAAATGGACCTTAAGTGCGTAATGATGGCAGGATGTGTGAAAAACAAAATAAGGTATTTCAACATAATATTATAAGCAGACCCTGGGAACGTAAATGCTAATTATATTTTTTTTTTCCAGTGAGCGGTGTTGTATCATCCGGTAACTTGGTAGCGTTAATGGGTTCAAGGTGAGATATACTAAATATAAAATAACTTTATCACTTACTTAAACCTTATTTTCATTTTATTAAGTTAGTTTAAAAAGTGATAACAACCTATTATTTTTAGCGTAATCTTTGATAAATATACGCATAAAAAATTAGATCTTTATTACATAATATTCAATGTTAAATCATAAAAAATATATAATTATGAAAGACTTAACGCACCTGTAGTTATATTTTATAAAAAAAGTTGTTTGAAATTGGAATTAAGATAAATAATGTTAAATTAAAAATTTTGTACAGCCGACTTCAATATAAGTTATTAAGAATAACTCAAAAACGATTAGTCTGATCTTAATCAAATTTTTCATATGGCACCTCACGAGAAGTACTAGCTTTCAAACAAAAAAAGAATCATCGAAATTGGTTCACTCAGTAATAAATTATTAATAAGAGTATACATTCATTACGACCTATCAAAACCTCCCGAAAAGGATGTATCAGGCATCCACCCTGGAAACCGCAGTTTATTTATTAATTTTGAGCTATTAGGAATATGCTGCTGCCCATCTCCCGTGTCATTTCCCTCTTTCGCCTCGTCTCTGTCGTCGAGATGACATGGACCGGGAGAGATTCACATTGCAGAGAAATTTTAATACACCACTATTTGTTTTTCATATTATTACATTGTCAGTCGATACTGCGCTATGGTGTTCTGGATCATACACGAACGAATGTTAATAAAAACGTGGTATAAAAGGAATGATTTGTGTTATTTATTCGGTGTTAATATTTTACTAATGCATTGTCACCCGTAAGGGCTAAGATGGAATGTCTCGTTTCCAGTAAAAAGTGTCTCCGGCTCTCTAAATACACCATACGAAACACACCAGCGTTAAGTTGCTATTTTACGCTGGTATTTTGTGAGAACGCGGTCGAGCCGACCCAATCGTGCTACAACTGGCATGGCTCTACCACGTAAAATTTTTTTCTTTAAACGGCTACCTTTTCTGCGCTAAAACTCTGACGACCCTCAAATCGCTATATTCAATTGAAAATGCCCAACCCAAATCTAACAGGCTGGTGTATCATCATTATTATCATTACAGCCCTTCACAAGTCCACTGCTGAACATAGGCCTCCGCCAAAGAATGCCACAAAACACGGTCCTGAGTCACCTGTATCCATCGACTTCCTGCATATCTTACCAGGTCGTCACTTCATCTAGTGGGGGGACGCCCTACACTTCGCCTGCCGGTACGAGGCTGCCACTCGAGAACCTTTCTTCCCCATCGGTTGTCGGTTCTTCGAGCTATATGGTCGGCCCATTGCCACTTCAGCTTACTAATCCGTTGGGCTATGTCGGTCATTCTGGTTCTACTGCGGATATCCTCATTTCTGAGTTTATCCATAGCTCCATAGCTCGCTGAGCGACCTTGAGCTTCCTTATTCGGCCAGCAGTGAAGGACCACGTCTCAGTTCCGTATGTCATCACTGGCAACACGCACTGGGTGTACAGTCTCGTTTTCAAGGTTTGAGGTATACCTGACGAGAAGATGTGCCGTAATTTCCCGAACGCTGCCCAACCGAGTTGAATCCGTCGATTGCCCTCTCGTTCGAAGTTGGACTTACCTAGTCGGACTATTTGTCCCAGGTAAACATACTCGTCAACAACTTCGAGCTTAGTGTTCCCAACAACTACCGGCATTGGACATTAAACATGATCTTTGTTTTGTCCATGTTCATCTTAAGACCTATCCGTTGGGAAACACTATTGAGGTCATTGAGCATAGTGCTTAGGTCCTCCAGCGATTCTGCCATAAGGACTATATCGTCGGCAAATCGAAGGTGAGTGATGTACTCGCCATTGATGTTGATACCGTATCCTTTCCAGTCCAGAAGCTTGAAAACGTCTTCCAATGCAGCGGTGAAGAGTTTTGGGGATATTACGTCACCCTGTCTTACTTACCTCTCTGCAATTGGATAGGTTTCGTACTCTGGTTCTGTACTCGGATAGCCATCGTAGCCCTACTGTACAAGCACTTCAACACTTCGATATACCGACAGTCAACTTGGCACCGCTGAAGGGACTGCAGCACCGCCCAAATTTTGACGGAATCAAAGGCTTTCTCATAGTCCACAGACGCCAGACATAGTGGCAAATTGTACTCCTCGGACTTCTGTACAATTTTCCAAAGGGTATGTATGTGGTCTATGGTGCTAAAGCCTTTTCTGCTGGTGTAAGTATCGGCATTTTATACGTGGTAGAGTCATGCTCAAGTCATGGTAGAGACATGCAGCTATACTATGGCTGTAGCATGAATGGATCGGCTCGACCAGGTTAGGACCACGCTCTCACAGAATACCATCGTAAAATAGCAACTTAATGCTGCTGTGTTTCGTACGGTGAGTGTAGAGAAATGGAGACCGTTTTTACTGAAAACGAGGCATTCCATCGTAGTCCTCAGGGGATTTATTTTTCAAGTTATGCATGCCAAAAAATGATGTGATATTGTCTAAGGCCCATAAAGGACTTGATATCACAATTTCAAAAGTCAGAACACAAACAAATAATTAATAATTAATTCTAACCAACCTGTGTCCGATGTTACGTTAAGTTTAGCATTCGAAGCAGCACCTGCGAATCAGTAAATATTTTAACTATAACGCCACGTTATTGTGTGGATATCGGTAAACATGTCATGCAGTTTCGAAAGTCTCACAGAATACCAGCGTTAAATGGCGGCTCAACGCTGCTGTGTTTCGTATGGTGAGTGTAGAGAACCGGACACCCTTTTTACTGGAAAAGAGGCATTCTGTCTTAGTCCTCACGGGTGACAACGCATCTGCATTTTGATTCGCAATCGAGGATAGATGTAGATGTCTATGGGCCACAGCAACCACTTACCATCAAGTGGACTGTGTGCTCGTTTGTCACCCTATCCTATAAAAAAATATTAAAAAAAAGCTATTAAAAATAAACAGTTAAGTTTAGCATTTTTGTAGACAATTTTTTATTTATTCAAAAAATATGCGCTATGTTAGTAGTTGTGATCAAAGGAGCACATTTATGTCGCTGGTCATTAGTCAATCATCACACATCAATGTAATAGATGAATATTTTTATTTAAATTTGTTTCTATTTTTCAATAAACACTCAAAAATTTGTTTTCGTTATTATACAATATATTTTTATTTAATCGAAATTAACCAGCTGAAGGATCCTTTGTTTAATGAATATTTTGTTGATACAGTGGAGCCGGCAAGACGACATTGCTGGCAGCAATCAGTCGCAGAGATAAAAGCGCGACGACTGGTTATCTCATGCTTAATGGGAGATTGGCCGGCGCAGACCTCATTGCCCGTATCTCGGGCTTCGTGCCACAGGAAGACCTTTCCATTGGCGACTTGACGGTCACTGAACATATGGAGTTTAAGGTTAATTTAAGTATCATTTTATAAAATTCACCTAAATCAGGATGTCCCTGTACGAAGATTTTAGAAGTACTATAGTTTGTTGCCGGGAGTTTTGCCGACCGAATGATTTTTTTTTAAATTTGTAGAGCCATACAGCAGTTGTAGGCTGTGCAGAATGAGTAAGTCAGCTCGACCGTCAAAGGGCTACTCCCGCATAGAATACAAGCGTAAATATCTGCATATTAGTTGTTCCCCGCGACCTCGCCCGCGTTCAATTTAGAGTTTTAATATTTTTGCTCGAAACCCTAATTCGTTTTCTAAAATAAAAGTAGCCTAAGTTACTACTTATAACATCAGCTATCAGGCAGTGAAAGTCCCGTCAAAATCGGTCCAGCCACTTCGGAGATTAGCTGGAACAAACAGACAGACAGACAGACAGACGCACAGGCAGACAGACAAAAATTTTAAAAATAGTGTTTTTGTTTTAAGTATCGTATACACTTTCATATGTATTTAGTAAAAAGCTGTTATTCTGATATTACAAACAGACACTTAAATTTTATTTATTTGCATAGATTAATGCTGTTTTCTTTATAACGGTAACGAACAATTCCATCTTGGCCCTGGTGGTAATACCGCATAAAGTTACAGTCTATTTTTTTCTTATTTCTCAGGCACACAGGTTATCTCACGATGTTATCCTTCACCGCCGAGCACGTGGTAAATCAGCACTTAAAATAGCAATTAACAATTTCATTGGTGACGGTGGGGTTCGAACCCGAGTTGCTCGAACCCGGGTTGCTCGAACCCGGGTTGCTCGCGTACTGTGAAATTTACAGCGAGCTCTTAGCCCCAGAGCTACCACGGCTCTAAAAGCCTTTGACATTTTGAAATACGTTTTATCACACGTTGTTTTGTTATTTTCTCAAACATTTTGTTCCTTGTCTCTGGGATTTGTAAACTAATCTATACAAATAAATAAAATTGAAGTGTCTGTTTGTAATAACAAAATAACAGATTTTTACTAAACGCATATAAATAACGACAAGACAAAAACACAATTTTTAAAATTTTTGTCTGTCTGTGTTCCGGCTAATCTCCGAAATGGTTAAATCGATTTAAACGGGATTTTTACTGGCTGATAGCTGATGTTATAAAGAGTAACTTAGGCTACTTTTCTTTTAGATAAAGAATTAGAATTCCGCGTAAAAAAAAATTAAAACCCATAAAATCCAATCGTAACAAAATACACACGGGCGAAGTCGCGGGGAACACCTAGTATTAAAATATAAAATTCAATCGCAACCGGAAGCGTTATAACGTTAATTATTTTTATTTAACTTTAAAATTAGTTGTATATTAATTAGGTACTTTATTATGTCTGAAGATAAGACTATCGGATTTTATTGGTAAACCAGTCCTTAATCCAGGACTTAATTAATTCCTAGTGGAAATAAAGTTAATTTATTAGTTGCTATTGTTGTTTAAGTGGAATAAAATATATGTTGATATTTTTCTGTTTTTAATACGTATATATATTTTATACGTATATATAAGTACGTTAAATAAGCTATCTGGATCCTTGTTTACAGTGAATATAAATTCATTCACTTATTCATTGCAGCCTAACAAAAGTCCTTTGCTGAATATAAGCCTCCTCTATAGATTGCTTGGAAGATGTTGCTGCCATCTCCTGTTCTATTTCCCTCTGGTGCCTCTTACGACACCCACGCGATGAAATGGGTTAGTGAATTGTCTTAGCCCGCGACTACAAAACAAACTTAGACTATAAATAGGTTTGCAAGATGTAGCTATTTAGTTAGTTACAGCCTAAATACGTCCCAGTGTTGGGCACAGGCCTTTCATTTCAGTGAGAGTATTAGGGCAAGGAAATGTCCGTCGCGATAACCAAATGTGTGTTGGCGAATTTCACATTTCTTCGAATTTTTTTCTAAGTTCTTAGACATGCAGGTTTCCTCACGATGTTTCCCTGTACCGCCGAGCACGTGGTAAATCAGCACTTAAAATTGCAATTCACGATTTAAGTGCTGATTTACCACTTTATAGGTGCCGGCAGGGATCGGAAAATTCAGAAATTGCTCGCGTGCTATGAAATTTACAGCGAGTGCCTGGCCCTTCAGCTACAACGGCCTCCTGACCTACCACGGCTTGCAAGATATGTTATGAGAAGTTATATTAAGCAAGTCCATCTTGTGGAATATTTTTATAACGAGACAGAAGTACCTACGATACAGTAGGATAATATATTATATATAAAAATTTATGAAGTTGTATTCATATCTAATAAATTAGTCTAATATATTTTTAATAAATTAGTTAATCGAAGCTTATAAATTATGCAGTAGGTGAAGATATTTTTTTAAGCCATTTTTTACACTACACATACGACATTAATTAATATTAAGTTTATAAGGTTATCATTCTTCATATCTTTCTTCATCTTGGACATGGCTGAAAAGCATAGTTTGAATAATTTTCAAACACCATAATTTTATATAAAAAAGCAACGTAAGAAATTAATAACAAAACTTAACAAAAGTAAATATCGTCATGAAAAAAACTAAAAATAATAAAATATTTTTTAAAACATTCGAGAACAACAACACAGCGTATCAAATAATTAAATCCTTCAGTAGCTATTAAATTATTTTTCTTTTAATTAACACTTTTTTTAAGTTATTTTCTTTTCGTCTGTCGTTCCGGGTGGAATTTAGTAATTGATTTTAAAAACGTGGTATATTAAAAAAATATTACTTTTTTTTAAATTTCGCTTGTTTATTTTTAAAATCGGTTGTTACTTTTTACACGCTCTTTATTAGCCAGACCTGTATGTATCTGTAATAGAATTTTTTCAAATCTATTTATAACCCACTTCTGAATAATCTACGAACGTTTATACGAAGTAAAGCCATGGTGCAGCTATATTATGGTTGTAGAACCAAGGGCGGCTCGACCGGGGAACGACAACGCTCTTACAAAATACCGCTGTAAAATAGCAGCTTAATACTGCTGCGTTTCGTATGGTGAGTGTAAAGAACCTCAAAAAGAAGAACGCATTTCATTTCAGTCCTCAGGGGTGACAACGCATCTGCATTTTGATTCTTAACTGAGGATAAATGTAGGTGCCTATAAACGACAGCATCCACTTGACATCAGGTGGATTGTGTGCTCGTTTGTCATCCTTATTCTATAAAAAAAAAAACGAACGGCACAAAGACGATTTCCAACCTCTAGAGAGAAGAATGAGGGATCGGGAAGATTGAAAATACATTGAGGTATTGACAGGTTTATATTGATACAAGTTCGGTGTACGGTCAAATGTAGGACAATCTAATAAAACCAATTCCAACCATATTTTCGAACAGTTTCTGCCTGTATTCACATATAAATCTCATAATAAATATTCAAGACAGCCCTATGAACAAGACATAATCATGCAAATTTATGATAACTTTAAAATGATTTCCCACGCGTTAAAATTTTATATAAAGCGTAAATATATTTAAATAACCATTTATCTCAAATTGGATTAAGTATGTATATTTTGTCTATAATATATTTCTATATTATGTTAATAGCAAACTATATTAAATATAAATGACAGTTAATTCTAAAGATAGACTTTCCTGTGAAATAGCCGCCGTGGTATAAGGTATAACCTATTCTATACAAATTTGTATAAACAAGATGGCATGGTTTCCTAGAGAGTGTTATTGACACCACAGTAATGAAGCACATCGTTGCCGCCATTTTCATGACGGCAATGTTTAGAATGCAGTTTTAAGCAGCGGTTTGGCAGCGGTGAACAATTATGTCATAAAAAAATAGTTTGGAAAACCCAAAAGTGTACGCCTCATGAGCGTTTCATTTAATTTTGACGACAAAAAAGTGACGATAATTTTTACAAGAAAAAAAAAACAGAGAATCTGATCGACTTTCATTAAAAACTTTTAAACGGTGTTATTCAATAACAACAATCAATAAGGATCTTCCTTAGAATTTATGGAATCTTGTTTAATACTATATATCTCAATCTATTACTTACATTTCTATAAAGCGGGAAGACTCACCGACGCACAGACCAACGGACGGCAGTCCATATATTTTTCAATTACATTTTTTGTTATGTAATCTAAAGTGAAACAATTAGAAAATAAACTAATCTTAATATTCAATATCTGTAGTTATTGTGACGTTAATAATAATATGGATTGGATGTTTAGCTAAAAATATAAAAACGGTTTTCTGTAGCGAAATGGAGGTATTGCCACATATCGAGAGTAGAGCATACTCCCTCACGTTGGGAGGCGTGCAATAAATTACAGCTTGAACCGCTAGGTTGCATATTTTTAATAGATCATAGAGCAACACAGGCCACCGGCGTACCTGAGGGGAGTAGTCATAGCGTTTTTCCCCGATACGGAACTGTCTGTTATTTTTTGCGGGGGGAAGTCTGCGCACACAAAAACAATCGTCTATCACTACTAAACTCACACATAACAATTAAAACAATTAAGTAACAATTTCATACACATACACACGTACATTATGACAGTACAGTACACATACATTATTACAGACTCGGATAAGTTGCTACATATGGGATTAGGGCGAGCGGCCTGTGGTGGTAAACATACAGACTTGGATAAGTTGCTTGACCGATCTACATATTGGATGAGCGCGAGCGGCCTGTGTTGATAAACAAATTCGAAACAACACTACTGTTATTATTGTAATTTTTAAGTTTAAGAATAAGTAAACAACAATAATGTGATTAATAACTACTTATATATACTTATATATTACTTATATATAAAAGGTAACCATATCTTACTGTAAATTTGTCGTGACAGACCTCTTTATGCAGCAAAAAATTGTACAATTCGGCTTTTTTGTAGGACGTCGATTCAGCCGCGTAACTAGATTTAGTCAGTGAGTAGTGCGGCAGCAATTAGTTTTATTGTTCACATAGGACCGTGTGGACTCATTCTTAAACAGAGCTCCCCTTTGATCCACCGGTGGCCTATGTTGCTCTATGGAATAGATTTTAATAAATATCAAATTAGTTTACGGTAGTATGAGTTTTTTTTTTATAGCTGAATTCCCGTTCTAGGAATAGGATGGCCGGCTGTGGTCCCAAGCTTCATATTGCGATTGCAGCCGCTAGTTGACGACACCGCTTTTCTAGAAAATCCTAGCTTATTTAAATATCAGTAAACTATACACTAAATTACTATATAAGATTCTTGAATTATTAAGAGAAATGTAGCGAAGTTTTTTAGGAAATGCAATGATTCATATTGCTAGTTTAACAGCATAATAGAATTTCTTCCTATGGGTGTCACTTTAGGAAAATGCCCACAAAGTTTTGGGGTCTCAATTAGATAATGGTATAACCATTGCATTTTTACCACGATTTTATTAAGTCACTGTCTTGTTTGTCTGTCGTACCAGGTGAAATTTAGTATTTGATTTTAAACTAACTTCCCGATGAGCTGGAAACTTGAAATTTTGAATATAACTCAAATTCGGATGACAATGGAAAAATATGATAAAAAATGTGGTAAAAATAAAAAAAAATGTAATACACGGTGTCGAAGGTGTAAGATGCAATGTGCAAGATGCAATGTGCAAGATGTTTCGTAACTGCGTCTTACCGATCTCAGATATCTCGCAACTTTATCTACTCGTAATTATTGAGAAGCAGTTTGAATCTGATGAGAGCTGTACTGGCAAATTTTTATAAATATTTTTAATTATATATTTAAAAAAATTGGTTTGAATTTAAATGAAGTAAAATTATAATCCGTCGATCGACGGATTCAACTCGGCTGGGCAGCATTTGGGAATTACCGCACATCTTCTCCTCTCCTACCTCAAAACTTGAAAACGAGACTATACAACCAGTGTGTGTTGCCAGTGATGACCTATGGAATTGAGACTTGGTCCTTCACTGCTGGCCGGATGAGGAAGCTCAAGGTCGCTCAGCGAGCTATGGAGAGGGCTATGCTCGGAGTTTCTCTGCGTGATTTTTTTTTATAGGATAGGGTGACAAACGAGCACACAGTCCACCTGATGGTAAGTGATTGTTGTGACCCATAGACGTTTACATCTATCATCGATTACAAATCAAAATGCAGATGCGTTGTCGCCCATGAGGACTAAGATGGAATGCCTCTTTTCCAGTAAAAAGGGTCTCCGGTTCTCTGCGCTCACCATACGAAACACAGCAGCATTAAGCTGCTATTTTACGCTGGTATTCTGTGAGAGCGTGGTCCTTCCCCGGTCGAGCCGGCCCATTCGTGTTACAACTATACTACTAATATAGCTGTAGCATGGCTCTACCACGTTAAAAACTTAAAAATGAGGATATCCACAGTGGAACCAGAGTGACCGACATAGCCCAACGGATTAGTAATCTGAAGTGGCAATGGGCCGGCCATATAGCTCGAAGAACCGACAACCGATGGGGGAAAAGTTCTCGATTGGCGGCGTCGTACCGGCGGACTATAATGTATTCTTGGCATAACTTAATTATTAATTTCATTCAGCACATTGAAATAATTAATCTGACAGTAAAAATACTACCAGGCACGTTTGATGATGGACAAGCGGTCGAGTGCAGCCGTGAGAACACGACGCATTCAGCAGTTGCTGGGGGAGCTCGGCGTAACAAACTGCACTCGCACCAAACTGAAGGCACTGTCGGGTGGCGAACGGAAAAGAGTAGCTTTGGCTGTACAGGTGAGATATGCAACATGTTCAACACAAACACACTTACACATTCACGGACTCACGCATATACACACAAGCACAGATACGTGCGAGCACGCGCACACATACACATGCAGACATTTGTACATTTAATCGGATTCGTTGTAACATAATCGTGTATATACTATACTATGTATTAGGGTTCTACATATCCATTATTCCTGTTTATCTTTTTATATTTATTAGCCCGTAACAGTCACCTGCTGAACTTGAGCCCTTCTCACTGTAGGGATCAATAGTTTGCCATTAGTGTTTCGATTGAACAGGCGAATTGACTTCTTTGTACGATAATTGATTGCTTATTTTTAATGGTAGAGCTACGCTGCAGGTATACATAGCTGCAGCACGAATAGGTTAACTCGACCGAGGTAGAACCATCCTCTCACATAATACTAGCGTGAAACATTAGAATAATGCTTCTGCAGTTCTTATAGGGAGTGTAGAGAACCGGAGATCCTTTTTACTAGCAACGAGGCACTTCATTTTAGTTCTAAAGGGTGACAACACATCTGCATTTTGATTCTTTATCAATCATAGATCCAGATGTCTTTGGACCGTAGTATCAACTTAGCATTAGGTGGACAATTTATGTTGTTATCCCTATTCTATAAGAAATACCTTTAACGTTGCTTCCTATCATCGATTTGGTTATTTTACACCTATTATCTACGAGATGGCTATATCGCTATAGATCGTGTATCCCACGGTATTCTCTAATGCAAATGACACAAATATACTTGCAATCGTTTCTCAGATTCTCATATTTATGTTACGTGTAGTGCCCGAAAAAGTAGTTTTATTTATCTTTTAGAGATAATTTTTAGTTTACCAAGTAGGTTGGGTAATTTCAGAATAATTTATAAATAATATAAACGCCCTCGGTATTGACGATGCCCAAGGATCACCCCAGCCGCACCCTAAACTAATGCTTTAATATTTTTGACAAAATTACAAGAAGTCACAGTAATTTTAATTATTATTCGGTCTTTACCCAACGAACTACTGGTTACCACTAATGGGTAAACCTAGGTTAGGTTTACTACATGTTCGGAAATTACCCGTAACGTATAAATCGTCCGAAGAAAACAAATCTATAAATATGATCTATAGATATGATAAAGTTGCAGGATTTAAAAGTAGAAAAAGAAACCAACCACAAGGATTTACATATCATTATACACGTGTGATTCTCTTTACCGAATTTATGTGATTTTATTAAGATAGTTGGTCGAATATATTCCTTGTTTTTCGTAACTTGACCTTTTATTGGTATTTTAAGCACGATTTTATCTGCAAATATATTAGGAGTGTGAATATAGATAATTCATTAGTGGATAAAGTTCGAATTATTAATATTTTATAATGGCAACAAGCAGGATATAACACCAATCTGGTAGAAACTGATAATCAAGAGAAAAACGTTCTATGGAATCATAGACAGAATAAAGATAACATACATGGAATCAATTATAAAATTAATTTAATTTATTACATTTAGTATATTTTTAACAATGAAAAAACAATACTTTGGAAAGGTGGGTGGATGCGTGGTTAAGGGGGAGACTTTTTTCATAGTAGAGTCATGCTGCAACTAATATTATGTCTGCAGCAGAAATTGGTCGTATCGATTGGGGAAGGGCGACGCTCTCACATATGTCACTATTTCAGTAGAACAGCGTAAAATAACCACGTAATGCTGTATTGTTTCGTATTGTGAGTGTTGCTAAAGAACTAGACACCCTTTTTACCGGTAATGAGACATTCTTAGTCCTCAGAGTTGACGACGCATCTATAACTTTTAATCGAGGATAGATGAACTTGTCTATGCTCCTCTGCATCCATCAGGTGGCTTTATTTTATAAAAAGAATAAAAATAAAAAATAGAGAAAACAGAACGTATAGCTTACCACGAATCAGGCTTGATAGATTCTACCTATCGATCCGATTCGATCTAGAGGCACTAATCCTCACATGAATGGCTTCCGGGAACGTCCCGGGCATTTTTAAACATGTTCACGATTTTGTTGCTACTAGAATATATGTTTGCATTATGATTTCAAAACAAGAAAATGGAGTTACTAAGCACCGTTAAGGCTTAGGGCTTAGCCAAGTTGACTTTCTGCAACATTTGGAGAACGTTTAAATATTTATCTAATACACAAGGTAACGATTGTCTCCCTTCAACTATTTTAGACACTAACTTATCCTCCTGTTACGGAAAGGTCTAGAAAGTATTACAATTAATAGATATGTATACATATTTCGCTATTTTATAACTTTTGAATAATATAATTGAAGATATTTAAAGTTTTAAGTATATAACTGAATAAAAACAGGTCCCTTGAATGAAATCGATATGAGAAGATTAAATTACTTCTAATCAAAATTAACATTAGGGTGTATCAACTATTAACGACTAGCAGGTGTTAAATTATTTCTGGTTTATATTTGGTTATAATTATTTATTATTAAGTGTTGTGCCTGTTTATTAGTACGAGAAGCCTTTAAAGCAGAAATTTAGTTAAATTTTCTGTACTTAAAATTTAAGATTCGCACTATATTTCATAAGGTATACGTGGTAGAGCCATGCTGCAGCTATATTTGTAGTATAGTTGTAGCACGAATTGGTCGGCTCGACCGGGGACGGACCACGGTCTCACAGAATACCAGCGTAAAATAGCAGCTTGACGCTGCTGTGTTTCGTATGGTGAGTGTAGAGAACCGGAGACCCATTTTACTTGAAAAGAGGCATTCCATCTTAGTCCTCACGAATGACGAGGATAAATGTAGATGTCTATGGGCCGCAGCTACCACTTACCATTAGGTGGACAGTGTGCTCCTTTGTCACTCTATCCTATAAAAAAAATAGGTTCAGCTCTAAAATGAAATACGGTCAAACGAACAATTTTTTACATTTTTTTTCTTCACAGTTTATTAGATACTTAGTTTATTGCTATTAATGCAATGCAAAAGCAAATTCCTGCCAGTATATTTTTGTCTAAAACTGGATCTTTGGTGTTTACGCATGATCCGTCAATACTTAAATTTAAATTTTCAATAACATTTTAACAAACAGTGTACCATAATATTTTAAAATATTTAATTAATAAACAAATTACGGTTCAACGCTTGATCGTACGACGCTTGTACGTAGAAATGCCAAAACAAAAACCGAAATGAATTCTTCCATGTCCTTCCACGATTCGTGATCTTACCACTGCTTTTCAGTAGCAGTAAATTCTTCGTAATACTTTTTACTGAATAATTAGAGGGATAAATTTTCCAACGCTGTACCCTCACGACTCCGTCATTTTAGTAACCTAAAAAGCTAAACTGAATGTATAGATTAGTGATACTTGAAAAAACCATCTTTTTTAATTTCGATAATTTTCTTTCTTTTAGCTATTGAACGACCCACCCATACTCTTCTGTGATGAACCGACAACTGGTCTGGACAGTTTTGCGGCCAGTGCCGTAGTCGGCAGGCTCAGAAGACTTGCTATTGGTGGAAAACTTGTAATATGCTCCGTACACCAACCTGCATCTGGTGTGTTTGAGCTGTTCCATCAAGTTGTACTCCTCGCTAATGGAAGAATAGCATTTCATGGGACTATCGAGCAGGCTGATCAGTTCTTCGCCTCGTAAGTATTACTATTAGATATAATTGCATATTGTTATTGATAATTTATAGGCTATATTCTTATCTTTGACCGATTTCTCCGTCATTACTTTTTCCGACGAAATTGTGTTTTATCTCCGTTGTCATATGTATACGAATAATTGCGGTTGTAGTTGGATTCTTTAAGGTTTTAATTCGTATTAAATATTAATTTATAATTAATACCAACATTCATAAAATCTGTTACAAACATTTGCACATTAGGTAGATAACATTTTTCCGTGGGCACCGTAGAAGTCAATTCATAAAAAATTTAATTTAATATTATAATGATTATTAGGTACTTCCCGCGATTACGCATTGATATAAAAGTAAGCTGACTTAACAAAGGGCCGGCCATAAAGCTTGTACAGTGTGGTGATGATGATGATGTTAAAAGCACTTTCAACTTTGCACGCTGCACAAAACGGGTTAAGGTTACGCTTTTCAAAGCATATTGTTAGTCCTTCTATACATGCAGCCTGGGGGTGAACTATACACGGAGGGCTACAATGATCTGCGCGTCCAATACAATAATACGTTGCGAATTATAATGATGTTGCCTCGGTATTGTAGCACCTATGAGAGGTATTTTCCGAACCAGTGGTAAATAAAAAATGATTTTCAATAAGTATTATGTAATAATCAATATTGAATAAAAACATATTCTATTCTATTCTATGGTATGTTTGCAGAGGCTCATTGTTCATGGGTTTGAATGATATGCCTCAATGCTGAATCGCACGTTAACTAGCACCAACATCATCCTCAGTGAAATAGCGTTGGATAAATCTGCATACTGCAAATTAGACACGCCATGAATAGTGTCGTATTTTAATTTAATTTCAATTTTATTTAATGTTTATATTTATTCATTTTAATTTGATTTAATGTTATAGGCTTTTGGATTATATATTTTTTAACAAATGTGGATAATTGGTCTGAAATAAATAAATAATTATAAAAGCATAAAAGCAAAATCACAACCTATTATGTCCCACGACTGGGCTGAAAAGATCGCTCTAGTAATAACAAAATTTTTTGGACAGGGAAAATATAAATAAAAAAAAAATGTAATTACTAACTAATTTAAGAAGCACCAAATATGGAAAAATTCTTTCATAAATTACGTTGGATAGTGATTTCAAAAAACAATAAATAATTATGTCAGAGCTTATCTACTGAGTTTGTTTTAAATGCCATTAATATCTGATAATAATAATAAAAAACATTTTCAAGCTTCTAGTTAAATTTATTATGGTAATTATATTAATTTGTGAAAGCCTATAAACTTGTTTTTACATATAACATACATACGGGATGTCTAAGCCGTCATTTATCGGAAACAATGAGGCTATTCCTGTTAGGTCATTTTATAGTCACCTCTTACGAAACCTGGAGGACGAAATGGGGCGGTAGATTCAATCACGCTGGGGGCCAACTTACGCCAAGTTGTAAAACAAAACACGAGTGAACGGTTGTCATAAAAAACGACAGAAACATACATTTTTAAATAAGTTCATAAGAAAGATTAGAAATTTTTAAGTGATTATTTAAGATGTGACGCCAGTTTCATAGATTGGACGCCGGTATTTGCAAGCCAAACAGTAGATGACAAAGTGAACAGCTTCAACAATATCATTCTTTACTTATATGATATTCATGCATCGGTTAAACTTGTTACAATAAAACGTAATCCTGCCTCTTGGATAACTTCAGCTTTGAAGGCGCTCATGGCACGTAGGGATAAAGCTAAAAGAAGATACAAGCGATTTCCACTGGAGAGTAATTTAACAAATTATAAGATCCTACATAATCGGTCCTACATAATCAGTGCATCCTATAAAATCGTTTGTGCAGATATGCAAAAAGGAGTTATTTTTATGACTCTCTAACTAAATATGATCTCGCAAAAGCATGGAGATTTCTTAAAACCGTTGGCGTTGGAAAGTCACGAACACTTTTAAGTGGATACATAAACTTAAATATTCTCAACCAACGTTTTTCTTACCCTCCTATTTCTATCTCTACGCGTGATAAAGCTAGGTCAATGTGAGAATTGGCTAAGCACCCAGTTCTACAGTGTGCCACATTTGGTTTTGCTTTAGTCACTGAAGACGATACTAACTGATTAATTTTAGCTATATCATCTACGACTGCTCGAAATGACTATGCTCTAATATGACAATACCTATCCTCTCTTTTCTTCTACCTGTTCCTACACACATTTTTAATTTCTCTTTATCTTCTTCTTGTTTTCCGTCGTCATGGAAATTAGCTCACATTATCCCTATCCCTAAGATATCCAATCTTTCATCTCCCTCTCACTTTCGTCTTATTTCAATCTTGCCATTTCTTTCTAATGTTCTTGAAGACATTATCCACAAGCAATTTTCAGCCTTTCTCAACAGAAATAATATTTTATGTTCATATCAATCTGGTTTCCGACCCGGTCATAGTACAACAACTGCCCTTCTTAAAGTTACTGACGATATTAGTTGGAAAATGGACGATGGATATTTAACAGTTCTTGCTTTACTGGTTTTCAGCAGTGCATTTAATTCTGTCGATTTTGATATCCTTATAAGTATCCTTTAGTCGATTAATGTGTCTAGATCTGTTATTCAATGGTTTGATTCCTATCTTCGTGATCGTTCTCAATGTGTTCGTTCAGGAAAAATATACTCCCAGTGGTATAATGTAACTGCGGGTGTACCTCAAGGTGGAGTCCTGTTTCCTATGCTTTTTGCCGTTTTTTATTAATTGTTTCATCAAGGCCATGTCATCTAATTACCACCTCTATGCTGACGATCTGCAGTTATATCGTAATTTTGTGGCATCCATCCTATCTTGGCGATTGAAGCTATGAATGATGACTTAAATAACCCACAAGAAACCGAAATAAATCTCAAGCCTTGATAATAGTCAAAAGATATGCGCGTGGCTTGCTTGATTTCTCCTCTCTCCAAACTCTACAAATCGATGGCATCACTATTCCTTACTTAGATACTGCCAAAAACCTAGGCATTATTTTGGACTTGGGACGCACATATTACAGATGTAAGTAGGAAAATATTTCACTCCTTTTATTCTCTAAAACCTCTTCAAAGTTTTCTACCCTTGTCTACTAAGATATCTATAGTCCAGACTCTTATCTTGCCAATTTTAGATTAAGTTCATGTCTGTTATTTGGATGCTACCGAGGAGCAAATGAATAAACTTGAGTGCTTGCAAAATTATATATTCGATACATTTTTGGCTTAAAGAAGTTCGATCACGTTTCTGTTTATCGCAAGCAGCTTAAATGGCTCCCAATCCACCTTCGCAGGAACACTCATATCCTCTGTCTTCTTTTCAATATTCTACATAATCCTACTATTCCGCTATATCTAAAAAATCGTTTTACTTTTGTTCATTCTCCAGATGTACCATGTAGATCAAATACTAGAACATTGTTAAGATCTTTGTCTTTCAATACCATGCTCTATTCTCATTCTTTTTCTGTTAATGCAGTACGATTGTGGAATTCACTTCCCTTTAGGATCCGTGATGTTAAATCGGTGTCTATGTTTAAAAGACTTGTTAAAGAGCACGATCATTCACTCCTTAATTATTAAATCGTAATGTGTAGGTAGGATATAAATAACATTAAAAATATGTATTGGATAATATTTTTTATATATATATATATATATATACTGTATATGTATATTTTATGTAAGTGCACACTTTGACTGCCTCTACTCCTTTAACTAGTCTTCAATAGGCCTGCTGGAAGAAATTTCATCATGGAATAAGCAGTGCTTTTGTACATAATAGTGTTTTTACCATTATGATATTAAATAAATAAATAAATGACTATGCTGCCACGCATGCCTTAATGGTCTGAGCTTCCTCCTTTTATAATTTTATATAACTTCTTAATTAGTCTCTAATAATCGTTCACGCATTTACTGATCATGAAGTCCCGAGTTGGGCCAAAATCAGCTATTGAGTTTTTCTGTCGAGAAATCCTCGGAAGCAGCCCGGAGTCAGGGAGTTGGCGGTGTTCCACCTCCGTGCCTCGGAAAGCATGTATAGTCTGTTCTGCACCTGATTTTTCTCTGATCGTGTCGGCTTACCGTTCCATAGAACTATGAGAGTGAGTATAAAATCCTGTCCTGCGCAGTTGGCTAGTCTCCGTTGATACTGGTTGCCGTGACCGAAATTTGGTTTGGAACACATTATAAATTATTCCAAAGATCTATTCTGTCACATTACCCGTATTCACAAATAAATATCAATTTGAATTTGAATTTGAATGTGTCAATTGATACATTATCAACACTGCAAGTTCGCAGCTAGTAAAAGTCGCCAACATTCGACAAATTTAAATAATCAAAGACAAGACAAGACTAATAAAACAATAATGTCAAAAATTTAAATATGTTATATGACATCGTTGATGTAGATTTTTGTTTTTATTAGCCATTTCATTAATAATTTAGTGCCTCATTTTGAAACATTATTTCATTAGTAAAAGTGTTAAAAGTTAATTAATAAAAGCTATTAATGAATTAACGCGGTACCACAGAGGCTGGACATTTTGATAGTGTGTTAGTAACCCATGTTCAAATCCCGCTATTTAAACACATGCCTGGAGACGTATCAAAGAATTGCAAGAAAACCTGCACGTCTTAGAAACCAACTATACGACACGTGAATAAGTCAGTCCGTTTTTATGGGCCTCATTCACTTATCATCATCATATCATCATCAGGTAGACAATGTGCTTATTTGTTAATTTTATTTTGTATGGAAAATTTTATAAGCGAAGTTTCAAAACTTGTGGATGCCTTGCCTTTGGTTTTAAAGTTAGGAGAACGGTCTAAGAGTTTTTTGGTATGTTACAATTAACCCATTATATTAAAAAAAAATAAAAAACAATTTCCGTTACAGTACAATATAAAATAAAGCCTATATCTGCAGTTAACAGCAATGCCT